GGTCTGTGTGTGCAGAGCCCAGGGCTAAGCTCCGTTGGTCGGCTGATCACCTCTGTATCTTTCTTGTTTTGAGATTCGGAGTCTCACTGTATTGCCCAGGCTGGCTTCCAACCCCTGGGCTCACAAGATCCTCTTGTCTCAGCCTTCCAAGTAGCCAGGACTAACAGATGGCCACTACTCCCACCTTAAGACTAAGAGTAATCACACAATTGATCAGAGGTCCTGGGGATCCAACCCAGAGCCTCACCCATTTCAGTCGGGCGCTCACCACCAGCTACACCCCCAGCTCAACCGTCTGCATGTGAATTTAAGTTTTATGTATCTGTACAATTTCACCTGATACTTCAGTGATTGAGTAACTAGAGCCCAGTCTTTGTGTAGTTTCTCCTTAACGTGAAACTTACATTTAATCACTTAAAGAAACTCAGGGATACACTTGAGTGAGTTCTGCTAACTGCCAACTTCAAAAACAACGTATGCACCCAGCAGTTAGATTTCAAACAGAAAGTAAAAGTCACAGGAAGAGTGTCGGTGCTTGGAAAATAATGTTCTCTTCAGTGCCCAGAAGTTCTTAGCTGGAGCCAATCTCAATCAATCAATCAATCAATCAAGCCCTGTAATCCCAGCATTTGGGAGGCTGAGGCTGGAGGCCGGTCCAGCCAGCCTGGGCTACATCCTGAAATCAAAACCAGTCTCAATTTGCATAGCAAGACCGTGTTTCAAAAACAAAGGGCCAGTCTGCCCTCTAGGGGTCACCATGGAGACCCAGCCATCTGAAATATTTGTCTTCACAAATTATTTCCAGGGCCAGGGTGGGGTAGATGAGACAGGCTAAGGCGCACACTGACATGCTCAAATTGGTATAGGCAGCTCGGCACGATGATGCAAGGCTATAATCCCAGTTCTCTGGGAGGCTGAGGCAGGAGGTTCACAAGTTCAAGCCCAGCCTGGACAACTAAGGGACTTGGCGCACTATCTCAAATTATAATATTTTTAAAAGCGTTGGAGAGCTGGGCAGGTGGCGCACGCCTGTGATGCCAGTACTCAGGAGGCTGAAGCAGGAGGATCAGTGTGAGTTCGAGGCCAGACTGCAAGGCTTAGTGAGACCCTCTCTCAAAGACAGAAAACAACTCAAAGCTGGGCTATGGCTCAGTGTGAAGGCTCTGGGATCAAAAAAAGGGTTATAGCTGGGTGTGGTAGTGCATACCTATAAACCCAGGGCTGGTGAGGCTGAGGCAGCACTGCCCTGAGTTCAAGGTCACCGTGGGTTACGTATGGGGCCTTTTTCTTTCTTTCTTTTTGGTCTTTCTGAGACAGGGTCTCACTATGTAGCCCAGGCTGGCCTTGAATTTGCAGTGATCCTCCTGCCTCAGCCTCCCGCGTGCTGGGATTAGACATTCACCACCACACCTGGCTGAGACTTTTTCTTAAAAACAGACAAAATTGTTACAGGCATGTAAGAAAACACTACATTTTTTGTTGTTGCTGACACAAAACACCCAACACCCAGAGTTACCAGGGAAAGGATTTTTTTCTGCTCACCTTTCGTGGAGGTTTCAGACCATAGTTGGCTGGCTCCAGAGCAGCGTGATAGGGCAGAGGAGCATCAGAGAGCAGGCAGAAAGCAGCGAGTGATCACAGCAGCCCTCTTCCTGTCCCTGGCGTCCTACCCAGCTGCACAGCTAGGGCGGGTGGCGCCCACACCCAGGGTAGGCCGTCCCATTGGTTACCCAAACCCGTTGGTGACTAATTAGCAACCACACACCCCTAATCTCCGGCATCACACACACCATATCCAGCCGCCTCTGACGAGCCCCACCTATGACCTCGTGAGCCTCTGGCGGAGACATCTGCGCAGAAGCCCTAAGGACGCCAGAGCTCATATTTTGCAAAACGAATATGCACCAGAAAATATGTCTTTTGAAACTTATTTTCCAGAACATTCTAACGTAACAGCTCTTATCAGGGTCCCCAGGAACCCAAGGCTTGCCCAATCAACCGTCAACTCCTCATCGGCCTCCAACTCCCAGCCACACAGGACGCTGTGACCCCGAGAGCCGGTGGCTTCTTTAGGGAGCCCTTTCCCAGCTGAAAGCTTTGCCTCGAGCAAGAACTGGACCAGATGAGCCTAAAACGGTGCCAGGAGTTAAACTGAAAAGTGACAGGGGAAAAAACGGGCTCTGCAGAGTGAACTTGGGCCAAACAAGACAAAAACAGCAAAAATAAAGTGTAACCTTTGTGTAAAAAGTTCTCAGTGTGCTCCTGCTGGAATCTGGGTCCTAACGTGTTATCCAAATCTCGCGAGAGGTTCTACATCCGGGGTCCTGAGATTTATTTGGCGCTGTCTTGGGATCTTGTAATTAACAGGTTCCTGCTTGGTTTTTGTAAAGAAGAAGAAGAAGAAGAAGAAGAAAAACAAACACAAGAATTAAGAATTAAACAAGTGGGGGCTGGGGATTTAGCTCAGCGGCATAAGCGCCTGCCTTGCAAGCAGGCAGTCGTGAGTTTGATCCCTGGTACCGATAAAAAGGAAAAAGACAAAAAAAAAAAATTAAACACGCAAAAGACAACATCCAAAGGCCTTCAGGGGAGGTGTCTAAGAAAGACCACCCACCCTCCTCTTCCTCCTCCTACTGCCCTGGCTGCTGGCTTCTTGGGTCCCTCTCCTGTTCCTGAATCCTCCCCTGTGCCCCATCTGTCCCCAAGTCATTAAATAACCTCCATATGCTAATGATCCCCCATTCCTTGCAGCTCTTTTTTTTCTGCGTTTTTTATATTTTATTGGTACCTTTTTTTTTTTTTTCCCTTGTACCAGGGATCAAAATCACGACCTTGCGCTTGCCAGGCAGGCACTTGGACCTCTGTGCGAAATCCCCAGTTCCTGGTATATTTTAGATACACATAATGATAACATCCATCGTAGGGAATTTGTACCTATTCATAATATATCTTGCTTCTTTTATTCCCCATTCCCCTCCCCGGCCCTCCCTTCAACCCCTTTTCCTCTTTTTTTTTTTTTTTTTTTGGTACCGGGTATCAAACTTAAGACCACATTTACCAGACAAGCACTTTGAGCTGCTGAGCTAAATCTCCCGCTTCCCCTTCTAATGTATAAAAGGCTTTGTTCCATTTTCTCCCTCTATTCATACAGATCTTTGTCTCTCTCCCTCTCTCTCGCTCTCTCTCTCTTTTAGAAAGAGAGGGTCTTGCTATGTAACCCAAGGCGGCCTTGGGTTCACAGTGATCTGCCTGCCTCAGTCTCCCAAGTGCAGGGAAGACAGGTGTGCACCACCAGGCCTGGTTAGGAGCGTCCTGAGATGTTGCAGGGATCCTCATTCCAGACTGTGCTAAAGTGGAAGATGTCTGGGGCCTGGCCCTGCCCGCCTTAGGTCCAAAAACAAACAGAGCCTGGCATGAGGGCTGATTGTGACAACTAGACTGGCTCGGCACAGTCGCAGGTATGCAAGACCCACCCTAGGACTGGCACCAGAGCAGTATGAAATGGGAACACTTCTTCCCTTTCATCTTATGGCTCCGGCACAGACTCTTTGGCCTCGTGATACCGACTCACGTGGAAAACTTCACTGAACTCCCGGCCTTCCATTGGACCCTTGGGGTCCCCAGGGTGCAGGTGGACATTTTGCACTCTTCCACACCTGACTCTGCGGGCAGCCATTGTAAGCCAGTGTTGTACATTCTTATATATTCTTGGATATTTTGTATTATCTGTTCTTTCTGATAAGCACTGATTGATACAAGTGGATTCCAATGCCAACTTCCAGGTATGTGAAATTCTGTCCACCACCTTAATACTCCCCCCTCGGGGCCCCCACATTCTTATCCAGTCTCTGCTGCAGCTCTCCCAGCTCCCCTCTCTAACTGCTTCCCAGCAACTGCAGAGGAATTTTGGTGGTGGTGGTGGTACTGAGCACTGAACACACTGTGCTACCTTCCCTGGCCCATTTTATTATTTTGACACAGGGTCTCACTATGTTGCGCAGGCGAGACTTGAACTGGAGATCTTCCTGCCTTAGCCTCCTCCTGGAGTGCCGGCAGCGCAGTATGCAGCAGGCATGTGACACCATGTCGGGTCAGGGTGGGGTTTTGGGGAGGTGTACTGGGAATCGAACTCAGGACCTCGCACTTGTTAGGCAGGTGCTGTGCTGCTGAGCTGTATCTCCCGCCCCAAGAGTGGGTTTCCAAACCAAACATTGCCTTTCAACTCAAGGTCCAGTTAGGTCCTGAATATGGCCCTCAGTGGCCCACTATTATATCACTAAATTACCCAGGTTGGGCTTGAATTTGTAATCTGGTCTGTCTCCGACAGTGCTATGATTACAGCAGAATCACAGGCTTGTACCACCACCTCTCGTTTGAATTTGAAAGTTTTTAACGATCCAAGAAAGTCCTGGAGTTTGAGTAGAACATTTTTACACACCCCTCCCCGCCATTCAGCCCTAAGCCTATGAGCTCCTACTGCTCCGCGGTGGGATATTTGAAAGAACAATATCCGCCCACCTGTAATCCCAGCCCTGGAGAGGCTGAAGCAGGAGGGTTGCTGTAAATTCGAGGCCAGCCTGGGCTACATGAGGATACGCTGTCTCAAAAAATAAAAACATTGTCGAGGTGGGAGAGACGATCCTCGATGGTCTTTGAGCGGGTAGCAATAAGACAGGAACTGGAAGAAAAGACAACATGGCACGCCTGTAATCCCAGCACGCGGGAGGCTGAGGCAGGAGGATCACAAGTTTGAGGACAGCCTAGTCTCCATAGTGAGTGCAAGGCCAGCCTGAACTACATACGAAGAAAGAAAAAGACAGAGAGAAAGAGAGAGAGATACAAAGACAGAGACAGAGGATGATGTCCAAAGCGACGCTCGAACAGCCACTCCTGGGGAATATAACCAGACACAGCAGCCAGGAGCTCTGGAAAGTTACAAGCGCTCTGCTCGCCGCGCAGGCGCACTGCGTCTCCAGCGCCGGCTCCTAATTTAAATACCACTGGGCGCGGGAGGAGGCGGGGCCTATTCGCCTGGTTGTCTTGGCTACGGCTGGGCGGGGCCTGAGTGGAAGCGCGCTCTCCACTTCCGCCAGGAGCCGGAAGCCACTGTCTCCCGGGTGCACTGGCCTTTGCAGCGAGGGAAAACGAGTGCAGGTGAGGGTTTTCACGGTGGGGCTTTGGGGCCGGACGAGGCTGGGCGCCCTTTTGCTCGGGGTCACACCAGGATCCCGAAACGGGCTTCAGGAGCCCCTGGTGTGCGTGCCACCGGACGATATGAATCCCCCCGACCCCAGCGTACCAAGCGGGGCAGCTCGGCCCGGTTCCTGCGGGGGGCGATCAGGAGGCGACACCGAAGCCCCGATGATCCGGGGGCCACGGCCCATTCATCATCTCTGGGGTCCCGGCCGTTGGGGGGGGATTCAACTCTCTTCCACTACCACGCCAACGTGCTTGGACTGGCACGAGCCAGACCCTGATCCTAGGATGGCGTGGAGGATCTGTGATCGCTAGGTGCCGTGAGGTTCTGGGGTCCATCTGTAACCCAAGCCGGGAAATCGTTTATTCATTCAACAAGTGGTTGCTTCGTGCTTGATGTCTGCCAGACATCAAGGGTCTGGCCAGGTGACCAGAGTTGGGAAGGTCACTCTGCTGCCTAGCAGGTCACAGCATTGGGCTGCAGCCCAGGCTACACCTTAGTGCTTCCCCAGCCTTCAGGGTCTTGGGGCTGGTGCTTTCTTCTGTGCATCTCAGAGCCTTCGCTCGACTGTCCCTTGAGCCGAGTCCTGGCTCAGCTCCGATTAATAGGGGGAGCTCACACAGAGAGCTTTAGTAGTTTACAGCCAGGTCTCACCCCAGCCACTCAGAACCTGAGGGCATTGTGTTATCCGATCTGGGATTCTGGTATGTTGCTACACACCTGTCATCCTAGCACTCAGGAGGCTGAGGCAGGAGGATCTCTGAGTTTGAGGCCAGCCTGGGCTACATGGTAGATTCAAGTTCAGCCTGGAATACATAACAAACCTCTGACTTTTGCCCTGCCCCGTGCCCCAGATTCTTCCACTCGAAGCCATGGGACGCAGGAAGTCGAAACGGAAGCCACCCCCCAAGAAGAAGATGACGGGCACCCTGGAGACCCAGTTTACCTGCCCTTTCTGTAATCACGAGAAGTCCTGTGATGTGAAGATGTGAGTAGGGCAGGGCATTGTGCCTCGCGGCCCCGAGCTTCTCCCTGACCCCCTTCTCTGCCAGGCTCCCAGTCTGCCCCGGACTCTCAGCTGGTGAGGTGCTCACCTGCAGGCTGAAGGGTCACCGTCCACCTCGTCTTGTTTCAGGGACCGTGCCCGCAACACCGGAGTCATTTCCTGTACTGTGTGCCTAGAGGAATTCCAGACGCCTATCACTTGTATCCTTGGATAATCGGGCTTCTTAGTGGGATGGGAGAGCAGGTCTGGTGGTCAGGGCTGGCCTGGTCAAGAGGAGGGGGCTGGACACCATATTGTATGCTTTGGTACAGTCACGTGCCTGTCAAGGGAGGGGTCCAGTTGCCACCAATCACCCTTGACTTCAGCGCCTCAGATCTCTCAGAACCCGTGGATGTGTACAGCGATTGGATAGACGCCTGCGAGGCAGCCAATCAGTAGCGACGCCGAGGACCCGCCCCCTGGCAGCCCCGCCTGCCGTGGACCCGCCCACTGGGCACCAGCAGAGACATTCCAGGGGTCGGGGGTGGGTCCAGGGCTGTCTTGGCCCGTGTGTCTTCGTGGTGGGTGTGAGTGAGCAGCGTGAGCCTGTGTGTCTCTAGGCTTCGGGAGCAGTTGAGGGGTTGTCAGGCCTGAGGGCCCTGCTGGGGCTCTCTTGATCCCAGAAACCTCTGGGCTGCTCCCTCCGCCTCCCCTGGCTTTGGGCCTCAGTTTCCCGGAGGGGCATTTTCCTGACACCCAGGCAGGAGACAGATGTGGAACTTCTCCAGCGGCGACAGCAGTCTGCCCCTGTGGCTTGGAGTCGATACCCTCAGTGCCCTGCTCCCTTGGCAGAGCGAGCCAGCCCCCCCGCACTAACTGAAAGGCCGGTCCATCCTCCAAGGCTTTTGCAGAGGAGGCAGGCAGGACTGGTTCGGGGAAGCTGTCGGTCACGAGCCCCTCAATAAAATAGCCAACGCAGATTCCTGGCTGTGCCGAGTTCCTGGGTGATTTCGGGGTGAGGGGAGGTGATCCTGGAGAGGGCGGTGGGGGGTTGCTGCCCCGATGGGCCACCCCAAACCACACCGAGCTCTCAGGACTTGTCACCCCAGAAGATACTGCCAGGGACACCCAAAGTTCACAGAAGAGGAAGCAGCAGAGAGGCATGGCAGGAATTTGAACCCAGGACGCTGGCTCTGCAGCCCACAAGCCACTTCCTTAAAAGTCCAGGGTCCGGGCTGAAGGGACAGACAGCTCGCTGACCATCCTGGGGGCTGTGGGAGGGAGCATGGCAGCCAGCTCGTCGTCCAAGGCGGGAGGTGCCAGCAGGATACACATGGCTGATGTGAACAGCTGGGGGTCCCAAGGGTGACGGTTCTGACCCTGGGCACCTGGACAGGTCTAGTGTCTCCACTTAGCCCAGGAGTGCAGAGGGAAGGCACAGAAGCCTTCCAGGCCAGGGCTGAGGCCAGAGGAGCAGATGCCATGTGCCAGTGGCTGAGGAAGAGGTCAAGTGGCCCTGGTGGCCCTGACCACCTGGCTGTGCCGCTGGCCTGTCACACTACCTATGCACAGGCCCTCCCTGGTGGTCCTGGCTCCTCTCCTGACCCCCAGAGGACCTGCAGCTTGACAGGCAGGCCCCTGGGCTGGGGTGCCTGCTCCTCCGACAGCCGCCCATCCCTTCTGACAAGCCGAGTGCTAATATGGTGCTGTTTTCCCGAGGAAAGGGCTCCAGGCCAGCGCGAGTCCTCCCGGCATAGGGGCGCACACTGCCAAGAGAGGCTGGAGTCCGCTTTACGAGGCCCCAGGGGCTGTGTGCGTCTGCATGTGGGGTTTCTGGTGTCTGACCCCGCGGGTCCCGCATTCCAGCCTCCTCCACCCCATCCCGGGGATGGGCCGGAGTGGAGTGGCTGCAGACAGCTTGATCCCTCCTGTGCCTGCATCCCCTCCCTGGAGTTCTGATGGCTGGTGGCTTCCGTGTGGGATGGCTGGGGCCTTTTCACTGGGAAAACGGATCCACTCTGGAGCATAAGAAATTGGGCACCCTGACCACAGTAGGGCAAATGCAGGACACAGGCCAGGGACACAATGTGTCTTCAACTGCTATCTGACCGGTTATCTCCCGGCCTGAAGGCCAAGCCTCCCGGCTTCCCCGTCCCTCCTGCCCCTGGCTGAAGGGTTGCCCTGATCACAATGGCCCCAGGACTCTTATAAGATAGTTATCCTCGGAGAAAGGCCTAGGGAAGGGACCCCACCTGCCTTAGGCCACCAAGCACAAGCCCAGCAAGTGATGGCCCCAGGGCCTTTGCACAAGCTCTGCAACTGCTTACCACTGAGCTGCACCCCCAAGCCAGTATATGCCTTTTGCACATTGTAGGTGCTAATGGTATGTGTGTACACAGTTGTACGTGAGATGCTTGGGGCGTACATGTGTGCATTTCACGTGAGCACGTAGAGTGCATGGCCCTTATCTGGCCAAGTGGCTGTGAAGTCCATGCATGACTTTTTTTATTTTTTCTTGAGATAGAGTCTCATGATATACTCCAAGCTGGCCTAGAACTTGGCAACTTCCCTCCTGAATGCTGGGATGACGGTTTCTGTCGCCACACCAGACCCACGTGTGTATCCTGGGACTCACGTGTGAACTCTTGGGCAGCAGGGATTGGTTTGATGGGGACAGTTTTCCATGGCCGAGGGTTGGGGGATGGTGCAGGTTTGGGGGTGCTATAGATTCCTGACACACACACTTCCCAGGAAGATCTGCGCTCTGTGAGGAAGAAGACAGAGGCCCCGCTGATGTGACAAGTGTTGGAGCTCAGGCAAGATGAGAGGAGCCAGACAGCTGCCTGCCGCCTCCTGCTGTGTGGCCCCTTCCTGACAGTTTGGGGGGGCCCTGGCAGGGCGAATCCACGCGGGACTGTTTGAACGAGAGCCTCCCTAGCGCCAGAACCCGCGTCCCTGAGGGCTCCGGTGATTTGACAGCCATTTATTGTGCTCCAGTGACATAGAAAAAGAAAGTGCTCGCGTTACAAACGCCGCTGTCACGCCACCTGCGCCAGCCGCCAGGCGCTGCAAACCAAACCGCGTGTGTCCGCTGCGTCTCGGGGCATGCAGTTCGCTCCCGCCGGGGAGGGGGCCGAGGCCGGGCCAAGCCTGGGCTCTGGGGGCTTTGCTTGAAAGAGGGAGGGGCTCCTAGTCCTGGGGTACCCACTTGTGAGGGAGCAGGGCAGCTCCGTAGCTTTACTTGGTGCATCCTTTGGGTGCTGTCAAGGACACCCCAGCTCTGTTGTGTGGACCCTGCAGCGCTACGAGGCGAGGGCCCGCTTCCCTGCACACACAGGCTGCTGTCCCCAGACTGTGACCCTGTAGGCAGGTGCCAGGGGCTGGGGATGTCATGCAGGGGCGGGGGGCGGCTGGGCCGGGGCCAGCCTAGAGCAGCAGCGGTGCGGGCCAGGGCCTAGGCAGAGTTGTAGTAGTTGTGCGGGTGGTGGTTGTGCACCGGCTCGCCCAGCTCGGGGTACTCGGGCGTCAGGCAGTACTTGGGGTCGTAGACCTGGCGCGGCAGCCCGTACACCGTCATGCCCCGCTGCGAGGCACCCTTGTTACTGCCCATCTGCAGGCTGACGTTCAGCATGTCGCAGTGCTCCATGCCCAGGCTGGGCTCAAAGATCTGCCGCTTGGTCCCGGGTGCCGTCATGCCAGCCTGCAGAGGAGGACGGGGACGGGAGGTCGGCCCGCAGGACAGGGGTGGGGAGGGCCCGGGCCTGGCGGCACACCCTGCGCTCCCGCTCACCTGGCTGGCCCCTTTGTTGGTGCCCATCTGCAGGCTGATGGTGGCCTGGTCCAGCGGCTGGTCTGTGCCCAGCTTGGGGTCATAGAGGTGCCGCCGGGTACCGTAGGCTGTCATGCCCTGCTGGCTGGCAAACTTGTTGGTGCCCATCTAGGAAGGCAGAGGGACAATCACCCCGAGAATCAGAGTCTCCCCAGAGGCCACGAGACATGGCGGGTGTCACAGCATGACACTGCTGCCATCTTCAGGGACAGGCTGGAAGCTGAGGCTCCGAGGAACGTAACTCACCGGGGACTGGCACAGGGAAAGATTTGGTCAATGGAAAAATGCAGAAGGCCAGATGTGGTGGCACACACCTGTCATTCTAGCACTCAGGAGGCTGAGGCAGGAGGATCATCTCGAGTTCAAAACCAGCCTGAGAGCTGGGGATATAGTTCAATGGCGTAAATGCCTGCCTGGCAAATTCAAGAGCCTGAGTTCAAGTCTCAGTACCAAAAAAAAAAAAGTCACAACACCAGCCTGGTTTTATTCTGTTTGATTTATTATGTCTGATGGTACGGGCAGCTATTTTGAAGATAACAAGAGGCATTATAGTAGTCATTGTTGATTTCCTGTTATTCTGTTTTAATGCCCTGTATCACTTTTGCTGTTTTGTTTTGATTGGCTTTATTCTGTTTCATTTTGTTTGGTTTTATTCTCTTTCTCCCTCTCTCTCTCTCTCCCTCTCTTGGTACTATGGATCGAACTCATGACCCCACGCCTGCAAGGCAAGTGCTTATGCCGATGAGCTAAATCCCCAGCCCTTGGTTTTATTCTCTTTAAAATAAAATTTAGCTGGGGGTTTAGCTCAGTGGTGTAAGGGCCTGCTTGGCAAACACAAGATTGTGAATTCAATCGCTGGTACCAAAAATAAATAAATAAAATAAAATTTAAAGCCAGGCATGGTGGTGGCACATGTCTATAATCCCAGCACTCTGGAGGCTGAGGCAGGAGGATCGTTGCAAGTTCAAGACCAGCCTGGGCTACAAAGTGAGCTCAAGACCAGCCTGAATTGCATAGTGAGAACTTGTCTCAAAAAAGACCAAAAAAATCTTTTAATTAAATTAAATTAAACTTAAGGTAATTAATTCATTTAAATTAAAAAAAAAAAACCAGCCTGAGCTACATAGTGAGTTCAAGGCCAGCCTGAATTACTTAGTGAGACTCTGAAAAAAAGGAAGGAAGGAAGGAAAAAAGAAAGAAAGAGAGAGAAAGAAGACAAAAGAAAAGAACAGAAAGAAAAGAAGAGCAAGAATGCCTAGCCTATAATTAACAACAAATACTCTGTCCTCACAGCATGCAGAGACCAAGCTGCCCTCCCATGATGCCCCAGGCAGGGCAGGGGCATCATGGGAAGGGGCATCATGGGAAGGGGCATCATGGGAAGGAGCATCATGGGAAGGGGCCTCATGGGAAGGGGCATCATGGGAAGGGGCATCATGGGAAGGGGCCTCATGGGAAGGGGCATCATGGGAAGGGGCATCATGGGAAGGGGCCTCATGAGAAGGGGCCTCATGGGAAGGGGCATCATGGGAAGGGGCATCATGGGAAGGGGCATCATGGGAAGGGGCAGGACCTGTAGCCCGATGATGTTCCGCCCTTCTCTCAGCTTCTCTGGCTCAAATTTCCTCTCCTGCTTCTCCGCGTACTTCACCCCGACATTCACCTTGTTGCCTTTCGTCTTGGCCTGGATGGGGTGAGGACAGGGGCCCAGAGGTCAGCACCCAGCCTGCTGCTTTGTCCCAGGTCCCCCCCCAGCGCCCACCCGGGTCCCCCGCTCACCATGCTGGCCAGGGCCAGGAGCGTGGACTGCACCTGGGTGTGGTTGGTGTTCTCGAACAGGTCATTGGCCTCGAAGATGTCGTGGGGCTTCACCCCGTACTTGGTGATGGCCTTGATGAAGTTGCCGATGTTCTCCAGCTGCGGGGAGCAGGGGCGTCAGGGCCGGGAGGCCGGGCACCGAGGGGCGCGGGGCTGAGGGCTTACCTGACCTCACCTGGTGCCAATTTTGGGTCGACTCGTTCACTTTCTTCACCGAGCCCGGCTGGAGCTTGTTGATGAATCTGTAAAGGGACAGGGACTGAGCTCTCCCAGGCAGCCCGGCTCCAACCGGCACCCGTGGGGCGCGGAGAAAACCTCCGGGAAGTCCCGTGT